ACGACGCGACTCTTCTGCTGCCCGCCGCAGACTGAGGCAGCGCTGAGTCGCCACCGCCGCAGCGCGGATGGTCGCGCCCGTGTCTCCCTAATTCGCGCCTCGCGTGGTGCAGTCCGGCTGGGCCCAAGGTGGTGCGGACGAGACCAAGGCAGCAGAGAAGGGGAGTTTGTGGAGGAACGGCGAGTGACGTCAGCGTGCGTTCAGTGCTGGGGTGGTGGTGGCGCACGCTGACAGGCGGGGGCGAAGGCGCTGTCCGCGGTGCTGAAGTCGACACTGCGCAAGCGCCACGCCGCATCCTGTTTCCCCTCCCCCCTTTGATAGGGGATGCGCAATTTGGGGAGTGGGGGTGGGGTGCTTGTTCGGAGGGTCGGGTGCGTAGTTAAACACGCCGCCCCCCTACCCGCCTCATTCTGGTCCTCACATCCACTCGTATTCACACATAAGACCCTTTCCATATATTGTTTCCAGTGTTGACAGTCACAGAGAGGAATTTTGGAGGTGGGGGGGCACACTCGAGACATAATAGTAGAGAAATAATCCTCTCACAGCAAGGTGTGGGGTCACAAACAGTGTCTCTCAGGGAGCTCAGTCTCCCATGTCGAGTCTCAGCTAGGCAGAGAGATGCCTGTGGGGGCAGCCATACAGCTTCAGACAAGCGGGGATGGACACTTGCATGATGTACACACCCTTGCCTTGGGTGGCAGGGGTCCCGAAGGCACACAGAGAATGACGCATAAAAGGAAAAACATGGATGCAGGTACAGAGGACATAGACCTATCTAGATATATATACAGACATACAAGCCCAGGATAACTAACACACATGAGCATGTTGAATACATGCATACATAACTTGTTACACACACAGCCAATATACTAACACGGAGACCCAGAGAAACTCACACAAGCACACATGCCGCCCTGACAAAACACATACCCACAGATGACCATGGAGAAGCTTAGATATGAAGCCCAGACACGTTCCTACAGCTCTAGCCCTGACTCCTGCCCACCACTCCCTATACATTCAGTCAAATGTCCTCATCCCTCTGCTCTGGACACAGCTTAAACCTGCTGTCATCAGTGTCCATGGCTGTCATCGCCTTCATCTGAGAACTTTCCACAGGCAGAGGCAGGATGCCAAATAAAGTTTGTACTTGAGAAAATGAGGTAGTCTAGGTGAGATGTAGATGCCATCCTGTCAAACCTCTAAGATTCTGACTACAATAAAAGCACAAATCATAAATAATCACTTGTTGACTATACCCAACACTTAACTGTGTTTGCATGTGTTGGTTAATTCAATCCTCACAACTATCCTATGAATGGATAATTTCCTTTTACAGATAAAGTGAATCTAAGAATTCCAAATAATTCCCAAAGGGTCATGTTCACTTGTTGATGTATACATTTAAAAAATAATATGCCAGGAAGATGGTATAGTCAGTGCCAGTATGGCTAAAACAGAGTGAGGGGTATTATGGCCAAAGACAGGGTCCAAGTGGTCACCAGGAGGCAGATTAGACCTACTAGACCCTTAACTATAGTGAGCAATGATGATGGGCCAGATGAGGTGGCAGAGGATATGCAAATAGGCAGATATGGGGGTCTTTTGCCTGTGAGATTTTCAGATGACTCATCTACTTATTTGTTCATTCTTCATTCATTAAACCATTGGCCTGTTTAAACAAGGCAGCAATAGTGTAGTGTCTGAAGTCAAATACTTGGGTTCAAGTCATGCCTCCAGGATACACTTGGAAAAGTTACCCAATCTTTCAGAGATTTGGTTTCTTCATGTATAATAAAAGGATGATGACCTGGCCTACCTCTAAGCAAATGGTACCTTTGAATGTCCTGTAACCTTTGTCAGGGATGCCTCTCCCTCCCTCTCTGCCTTGGATGTAGACTCCAGGAACCCCTACTCCCAGATTTATCTCCACTTACCCTAGGCGCCCATGGTTCCCAAGTTAAACACGTCTCAAACCATCCTCTTACTCCCCTGCATCCCAGCAACCTTCCATCCCATCTGCTGGCCTTTGCTTTGGCTAGTCCTTCCTCTTCCCTCCAGGATTCCAAACAGGAAATGCCCCACAAATTGGGTGTTTTCCAATGTTTTGAAATATGTGCTTCCATTACTAATCAAAAAAATGTGTTACTTACTAACAGAAGCAAGCAAACTTTGCCAGGTCTGTGATGACCTCTCTGGGGGATGGGAGCAGCTGCAGGTCTACAGATCTTTCTGGCTTCTCTGGACCAGAATTCAGGATCCTGGGGACTGTCTGTAGACTGTGCCTTTTCCTAGGTATCCAGTTCCCAGGCTACTAGTACATGTGCTCTCCAACACATTCCTCTTTTTCCAGGTGGCTCAATTTCCAGGAATTGTTATTTATTTGTTTATTTATTTTTGTAGAGGAGTCCCTCAAGAATATTTTGATCCCCAAGGCAAAGGCAAGGCTCTTCTGCACTGTCTCCATCTTCTTCAGCATGAATGGATGTGCAGAAGGCCTCCAAGAGTGATATATATGTGTGTGTGTGTGCGCGCGTGCACACACAGTGATTCAATCACATACCATGACATGTTCACTCAGTAGTGTACTCACATTTATAACACATACATCCACCATGCCACCTTAATGTGTGCACACACACCTACTAACTCATACAGTTATGGCAGAGTTGTAACCTCACATACTCTCCATACACATTCAATACATCCTTCATTATTGCAAGCTCCACCAGTCTGCATTCCACACACAGATACATACCTCATAATACACATACATATACAGCTGAACTTCCACCTTCTTGCAAACACATATCTCTTACATCTTGTAGTAGCAACCAGAAACCCTCTTTGGTTCAGTCTTCCCAAGACAACCCAAGTACTCATTAACTTCTCTTCACTTCATCCCATCAACTGGCTCATTTTACATAAGGGGAAATTGGCCCAGAGAAGTCAATGAGCATATTGACAAAACACCAGGCACCACAAATCTACCTCCTAAATCTTCCTGCACAGATGGGTCCCCTTCATCCACTGCAGTCATGAACCCTGCTACTGTTAAAGGCCATGTTACAATGGTGCTTCAAAAATGTCCAGCCCAAATGTCTTAGTTTGTAAAATGGGGATAATACTGGCTCTCATGGTTTGTTGTGGATTAAATGAGCTCATGCTATACAAAACCTTAAGACACTACTGGGGGCACAGTAAGTACTTTCTAAGTGTTAGCTATTACCATAATTATTATGATTCCTATGTGCCCCATCACAAGGGGCTTGGCATTCAATGAGTGGTAAATGAATGAGCAAATACTAAGAGCAGTGGTGTCTGGGTTTGTTCCCTTCACTGTGACTGTGGAGACACGTGCTGCTCTGATTTCTCTTCTTCCCTATGTCCCCTGATGTCCAGCACTATTGTTAGTATACAGTAGGCGTTAAGTGTCAAATAAATGTTCAAACTAAAGGAATGCCTATTCTGAGTCTGGCCCAGATGTCCTCTTTTTCTACCAGCCCTCCTCCACCCCAGATGCCTAGACTAAGCTCGAACCTATAGTCGATGCAAATATGCTCGGTGAAATGGACACATGTGAAAGGAATCTGAGTCTGGGTTTGTCCTGGGGGATCCTCCCTGTAGATGCTGAGACTACAGCAGCTCTTTGCCTCTGCCCCAGCTCAAAGCATATCACAGTCACTTCATCAGCCACCCCCCACCCCCGCCTCTGGGAGCTATTTGTCCTTAGTAATTGTGGTGTTAGAGCTGGGATGTTGTGAGTGGGTGAGTGCAGGTGTTTGAGCCACAGGGTGCCAATGCTAGCCACGCCTCTCTGCTGCAGTTCTGGCTTAGTTGACAAGGAATTGGCCCTTAGGGAGGCTCCAGTAGGTGGGAACCTGGACAGCTTCAGGAGGCGGGGAGACAGCAAATAACCAACAGGATGGCCAATCAAGAAGAGTCTGCCAGAGCGAGTAGCCAATCAAAATACCTACAAAGCAGAGCTCTGCAGAAGGACGTGCTGGGTGGCCCTGGGGCCCACCGCCTTAGGGCAGCAGGGAAGTAATGCTGGGCTGGACACTCACTTTCACGACTTCCAAGCTATAACCACAATGGAAAGTACTGTTTTCCACAACAGGGTGCTGAGATTTTGCTTTAGAAGATACTATCGCCCCACTTCTGGGAAAGGGGCCAGGTGACTTTGCCTTCTTTATGGAATCTTTAGAAGAGCCCAGTGAGGCTGGTTTATTGAGGGCTGGGAGGTCAGAGCAGAGGGAGAGGTGTTAGGGCTTTTCCTCTGCAGGGTCTTCGCAGGCAGGTACGTTTAGACATGGCCTCTTCTCCTCCACCAGTATCTTCTTCCCTTGCAGCTCCTCGCACTGTGCCAGTGGATTCCCCCAGAAGGTAACGTTCTTCTCACCCTGGCCTTCAACTATGGAAATTGTGGGCCTGGGGCATTAGAGGGGGAATGGAGAAGAGAAGCTCAGAGAAAGAAAGAATGCATTCAACGTTTGTGTGGGTGGGTGGTGGTGGTGGTGGTGGTGGTGATGGTGGTACTGAGGATTGAACCTAGGGCCTTTGCACTGAGCCACATCCCCAGCCCTCTTATTTTTTATTTTAAGACAGTCTGTCACTAAGTTGCCCAGGCTGGGCTCAAACTTGGGTTCTACCTCACAGTGCTAGAATTACAGGCATATACTATCATGGCTGGCAACAAACTCTTAATGAGGGCCTACTTTGTGCCCTATACTACCTTTTAGCTGTGAGATATTGGGCTGTTTCTTTGTCAGGAACTGTGTCTCAGTTTCCCTCATCTACAAAATTGAAATAGTATGAATAATAGTATCAATACCTACCCCAGCGGGCTGAAGATAAATGAATTAATTCAAAGTGCTCAGTGTTCAGGATCCTGCTTACAGTTTTGATGTTGGGAATGCTTTTCTCAACCCTACCTGTCCAAGAGGGCCCAATCAGCTTCCTGGGCCCACGGCGCAGTGGTGGTTCCTTTGCCATACACTTTTGCTCACCCAGGTTCCTTGGAGGATCCAGGGATCTGGGTTCTGTATGTCAGCAACTGTTGCCAAAAAGGCTTTGGAGTGCCTTGGGGTGGTGAGATGTCCAGTGAGTGAATGGAGGCATGAGTGACTGAGAGGTTGGAGGGAGTGGACATGAAGCACTAAGTGAATGGGAGAACGGCTGAAGGATTGAATGAGTGACCGAAGGGCAGAGAGGCTGTGACTTTCCTCCAGTATCTTTTTTCTCCTCTTCTCTATTGTTCCCTTCTTCCTGTAGCTGGAAGATGGCACTTGACAAGACAAGGACCACAGAACCAGTGATGGAAGCCCTGGTTGGGGGAAACCCACTCTCCTGCCTTCAACATCATGACCCCCTCCCAGTATACTCTGCCCCTCACTCACGAGAACTTGGGAAGCAAGGCCATGCAGCGGCGCTGGCGGACACGGATGGGGTTGGGTTCACATGGGGGTGTGCACAGCCCCCAGGCACTCCACTCTGACCATGTGCCTTTCTCTCCAACTGGGGGAGGGGCACACACAAAATTGGAGGTCTCAGTGGGAAAGTGAAGGGGAGGCTGCAGAGACATGGGGTCCACAGCAGAGTTGGAAGACCCTTGTCCCTGCGTGGGCTGTCCACCCACACAGTGTCATCTGGGGGGCACTCACAGATGCAGTTCTGGATGTTGTAGCAGTGTCGGATATTCTGGTATTCCCCAACACACCGCTGGCCATTAAACTTGCGGCCCTTGCAGCTCCTTGTGCGCCTCTGCTGGCCTGGGCTTTCCTGACAGCGGATGATGGTGTTCACGTGTGGGCGAGTGCAGGTGCTCCATTCGCCCCAGGCCTCCCACTCTCCATCCACTGCAAGGACAAGGGGCACCGGGGCACAGATCAAAGTGGGGAGCCAGCAAGGGTCTCAGGGAAGGAATGAAGGTGAGGAGAGGGAGTGGGGATAATCAGATGTGGAAATGGGGGATCAGAGGTAGAACCAAGACAGGAGGCTGATACAAGCCTCAGCAGCAGGAACTGCAGCAGAGATGAGTGAGGGGCTAAAGCATAAGGCATGGAAACACAGCCTTCTGCGGTGCTGACCAGGGCAGGGCAGAGCTGTGTTGCAGATGTGGGTCCGGCTGTCATCACCAATACAGAAGGGGCCTCCATGCTGGGGCACAGGGCGATTGCATGTCCGTCGTTCCAAGATCTGGCCCAGGCCACACGTCACAGAGCAGGGGCTCACAGGGCCCCATGGTCCCCAGCCCCCAGCCACTGTTGGAGGGAGAAAAGAGAGCAAGGAATAAGGCTGTCTCATTCTTCCCTCAGCCTCAAGACCCTTGAAGTAGCCTATCCTGATCCTTGTGTACCTGGGCAGGGCGGTAGGCCAGTGCAGACCCGCTGCTCATAGGCTATTCCTGGACAGGGCTTTCCAGGAGGCTCCTTGGAGGGCTCAGGTGCAGAACACGTGCGGCTTCGTGTCACCATAGGCTTACGGGGTTCACCCTGGCAGGAGCTCGAGCAGGCACTCCAAGGGCCCCAGGGACCCCAGGCCCCATGTGCTGTGGTGGGAGTGGGGGTCACACATGTGGTTAGGCATGCTGAAGTCTTGTCACCCTGGCAGTTTTCTGCTGTAATTCCAGACCCACCCTGGGTACCCACATCAGTGTCCTGTGGCAGCCCTCACTCACTGGGGCAGACCCGCTGGGTGTCACAGGCCTCTGACTCCCGGTTCACTCCTGGGCAGTGGCCCCCACACTTGGGGGCAGGGTTATTACATACTCGCTGGCGGATCCGGGTTCCTTTGGAGCAAGTGACTGAGCAAGCCCCCCAGGGTTCCCATTTAGACCAGCCGCCCATCTCTGTGGGAGAGAAGGGAATGGGATGGAAGTCGAAGTGCCATTCATGGATCCTCACTCACTTTCTTGTTGGCTCCACATAAGCTAACCCTGTCCCCATAATCCTTTGTTCCCACACCCGGCCCACATCACTGCTCACCTAGACTACAGCAGCAGCCTACACACCGGTCCCTCTGCTTCACTTCTCAGGTACAGTCTTCTATTTCCAAACGAGGCAGAAGTCACTCAGACTAAAGCTGATGCCCTCACTGTGGCTCTCTTTACCGCCCACCACTCTTCTCTAGCCACTCTGGCTGCTCATTTTCTCAGAGCATCCAGCACCACCCACCCACAGGGCTTCTGCACTGATGCTTCTGGTGACACAGGCCATGTGACAATAAGTGCTCGTCCACCTTGTTAGGCATCCTCACCAGGACAGCACTGCTGCTCCTCACAGGCCTGCAGCTGCCATTCAAGGGTCCCAGGAACCGCCTTCTCAGAGCACTGCCCACCCCAGCCTATGCAGCGGCGGTGTTGCAGCTGGGAGCCCTCAGAGCATGACACAGAGCAGGGGCCCCATGGGGACCATGGTGACCATCGTGGGGACCTGTGAAGAAAAGCATGTGTCCCATCCTCATGTAAACTGACAGCATGGCACGTGGGACTCCAGAGTGTTGGGAGGCACATAAGGACGCCATGTGAATATGAAGGACTGATATATGAGTACCTACTTCTTAGGGATGATGGAAGATTGAATGGGAAGAGGTGGGTACATGGTAGGTGCTTGGTAGACCCTTGGAAATCCCCTCAGGGACAAATCCAGGTACACTGTAAGCAATCGTAAGGAGCAGGAGATTGGAATTGCTTCCTGAAACCCAACAGGTCACTACTCTGCACAGTGGGAGGCAGACAGGAAATGCTTAGTAAACAGAAGCCATCATTCCAATGAGCACAGATGCCCTCTCAGAAACACCCAGACCTATCCTCAGCCCCCTACATGGTACTGGATATGCTGCCAATGCTAAGTAGGGGCCTAGAGCTGCTCTCAAAAATCCCCAAGCCCTGCAGCCTCATCGTAAATCTGGAATATATGGTAAGCAGAAAATATAACTGGTGTTGGGCATGGTGGCATGTGCCTATTTGGGAGACTTAGGCAAGAGAATCCAAGTTCAAAGCCAGCCTGGGCAACTTAGTGAGACTGTCTCAAAAATTAAAATAAAATAAAATGAGCTGTGGATGTAGTTCAGTGCTCCCTGGTTTCAATCTCCAGTACCACCCCCACCAAAGGAAAATATATTTGTAATGTAGTAAGGGCTTGGTACATGTAAGCCAGAAATCAAGAATTAGGAGACTAGTTACCCTCAGGACCCCACAAAGCTGCTGCCCATCTCCTGCAATTAGTTAAGTATAGAGAAAGTGCTCAAGGAATATAGTGTCATCATGATTAGGGCTCTGGGGTTGTCCTCATGTGTTTGTATACAGTAAGCACTCAACAAATGAGTTGTCCTCACAATTATGGGGTTAGAGTTACCTTCAGAAATATTCAAGCTGCAACCTACCTGTAAAATACTTCGGTACACTATGGGAATGGTTCTCAAGCAGGGGTGCCTTTGCCCCCTCCTTGTCCTGGGGAGATGGGGCAATGTCTGGACATTTTTGGTTGTCTCAACTGACATGTGTTAAGAGGTTGCTACTAGTATCTAGTGGAAGGGTAGGGATGTTACAAAATATCCTCTAAAGCAGAGATCAGGGAAAGAATCTCCTAGCCCCAAATATTTTATCAAAGTTGAGAAACCCTAAACTATGGTTATAATCAGGACCTTGGGGGGCCACCCTTGGGAGACCCAGAGAAAGTGAACCCAGTTCTGGGTCACAGTGCTCTTCCCCTAGCCCAGGTGTCCCGAACCTGCATGCCTGGCAGAGCCCGCCATCACGCTCCTGGAAGGCGTAGGCAGCATTGAGACAGCAGTCTTCCACACTGATGTCTCTCCCCAGGGGGCCTTGGCACCTGCCTGTGGAGTCCTCATACTGGGAAAAGCAGAGCACTGGGTCTGAGCCTGTAATAGGACCGGGGCAAGGGGCATGGATAGTCAGAGGTACGGTGGGCCTAGGTACCCCAGGGGACAGCCAGCCCCTTCCCTACTCACCTGTGCCCGGCACGGTGAGAAGCAGCAGCAGCAGCAGCAGCAGTGACTGAGGCGCCTGCATTGGGGCAGTCATGTTGAGCACTACACCCCTGCACCTCTGCCAGAGAGGCCTGGCTTGATCTGAGCTGACCCACTGCTGGAAAGAGGAACCTGCCTGCCCTGCCATGGGAGGAACTGAGGGCTCTGGTGCAGGCTTCTTTAGGTCCCACCCTCTCTTGCCCCTCTGCCTCCTCCTCTCTCCTCCACATTTCCTGTGTCACCTTTAGTCCTGTTTTGTTTGTCACCCAATCCCCAGTACCTCATACTGTGATCTACCTAGTAACCTTTCAGCATTCAATGCTCTTTGGACAAATTCTCAGCGAGGGGCAATACAGCCTGGGAGTTTGGAGGAAGACTGTAAGGTCACATTGACCTCTGAGTCTTAATTTCCTTATCTGTAGCAATGTATACTCTCAACCACAATGACATGGTCAACTCCTTGGTGGTGCTAAACTCAGAGTAGTCTTCCTTACAGGGTGGAGGAAGCACCGACTGGAAAAATTGCCTTGTTCTCCATCCTGACTGAACCTTGCCCTCCTCTCTCCTAAAGTGAGATTCCCTGTGGTCAGCATGTGTTTGTGTGTGTGTGGGGGGTCAGCACAAGGGAAGTAAGAAGAGGAAGTGGGTTGGTGTGAGGAGGGGCAGGACACAACTGGGGATATCCGGTCCCCTGGGGGCCCAGCTGAGGATGCTTCCAAAGCCTGGGGCAGAGGTGAACAGGAAGGCACCACCTTGGCCGCGGTCCTTCAGATTACTCTTGAGCAGGTACCACTCCCACCCTGAGCCTGTTTCCGTCTCTGTAAAACATACACATGGACAGCACCAACAACGTAAGTCAGGCTTGTTGTAAAGATTAGGAGTTAGACTTATAAGTTTCTAGGATAGTGCCTGGCAAATGTTGATTTGCTCAACATTCATTGAGCACCTATCAGATGACAGATGTGTCTCTCAGGATTAGATGGCCAGAGAACAGACCAGACAAAAATTTTGCCTTCCCCCCTGGGACTTATACTCTAAAAGGGGAGACAGACAATAAACATCACCTCCTTTACAGAGGCCTTTCCCAGCTACCCTACTTGGGTGATATCCCTGTCAATCTCTAGCCCAGTGGGTCTTAAACCATAGTGTACATCAGAATCTCTCAAAAGGCTTGATAAAATTGCAGGTTGTTGGGTCCCACACCCTGGATTCTGAATGGGCATTTCTAACAAGTTCCCAGCTGACAACTGATGCTGCTGGCATGGGGACCACACTTTAAGAACTGTCATTTTAGTCTTTGATTCTTAATTTACTTTGTGGGTCTCAGAAAACAATCTTACATGCGCTTTGTTTCACTGCTAATAAATAATTCCTCTTCAGTCCACTTTTCTTGCAGGTAAAATTGAGCTCCACAGTCCTATTTTCTCTTTTTCATAGCCCTAATGAGTGAAATTCTAGAGCCTGCTGTAAAAGCAAAATTTTGTGGGCTGGGTCGGAGCTCAATGGTAGACTGCTTACCTAACATGTGCAAGGCCCTGGATTTATTCCTCAGCACCACAAATAAAAACAATCTTTGTAATTAACAAAAAGGAGCCTGGAAAAAAAAAAAGAGCCTGTGAAAGATTGGAAGGCAATGCCTCATTTCTCCTGTATTCACAGAGAAAATACAGTTCCATAAATTAAAACAAGATAAAAGAATCTGGTCAGGGGTTAAGACAGAAGTTTCTCAATACTGTTCATTGGTGCACACCTGTAATCCCAGTACTTGGGAGGCTAAAGCTGGAGGATCACCAGGAGTTTGAGGCTAGCCTGAAAGACATAGCAACACCCTGTCTCAAAAAAATTAAAATACTGCTCTTGTTTTGGGGCGATAAGGTATGTTAATATTTGTATCTATTACAGATATACTCTGTTCTCAGAGAACATAAGCCTATTTCTGAGTGTGTGCCTTGAACAAAGGGGTCTTGTTAAGATTCTGACTTCAGCTGTCAGAGCTGTGTTATCCTGTGAAAACAAACTCCCCAAGAAACCTACAATTCTGCCTGGCTGTTTTATTTAATAACCTGTTGCCCTGGTAATACCGTTATAATCGATATTTCCTTTGTTCCCTAACTGCATAAATACTCATAGGATTCCCTGTGGATGAGGACTGTCTGCATTTTCATTTTCTCCCACACACATTTAGGCATTAAAATGACTCTGCACACTCCTTTAAACAAAGAGTGAGAGAATCTTGTCTTATTTAATTATTACATTACTGCCCGATACAATGCATTTGTATTTCTTGTCAGTCTCCCTCACTTGAGTATCAGCTCCACAAGGGCAGAGATTTTGGTCTAGTATGTTTTGGTGGATCTGCAAGTTAGTAGATGAGTACCAGCAAAAAGTAGATGCTTGGGTCAGGGAATTAGCTCAGTGGTGTTGCCGCCCACCTCGCAAACACAAGGTCCTAAGCTTGATCCCTGGCACCACCAAAAAAAAAAAAAAAGAAAAAAGAAAAAGAAAAAGTTGATACTCAATAAATGTCTGTTGAGTGCATGAACAAATCAAAGGAGCAAAACTGGAGGCTCTGGTAAGTGCTTAAAGAACAGTCTGAGTTGGAAATAAATCACCTCGGGGCATAAATCATATCTCAAGGGCTAGATCTGTGTTAGATCAGCTAGAGAGGGTACAGGAGAAGGGAGCCCCAAGCAAAGTGCAGGGGAATTCCAGCATTTCAAGTTTTGGAGAACTGGGAGGTACCCAGCCCAAGTGACTAAGCGGGAGGGGCCTGTGGAGGCAGTTTTTCTCTTAGGCCGGGCAATTCAATCCATGGCCTCTCAATACACTGGTCTCATTCTTTCATGTTTAATTTTTTACCTACACACATAAAATTCTGGATTTGCAGCCTCTACTTGTGAACAAGCTCACATACATACTCTGTCGCACAGCCTCTCAGACATTGTCACTTACCTACTCAGGGAGTCATTTTCTCTGACACTGATCCTCAGCCTCACTACAGTGTCCTACTAAACAGCTTCGCAATTATGTCTTATGGCTTGACTCAGTGTCACTGATGTTTTCTCTCATGTTAGTTTTTCACACACAGTCACATCATCTAATAATGTAAGCCATTTCTTTCAGTCTGCCATTTTTTCACATCCACAGTCACTGATGTACATTCATCATCACTAACTGGACTCTCACAGTTTTTCACACAAACAAAATCAAAATCACAGTCACTCCTTTCTCTACTTCCTTAAGCCACTCTAACCCCTGTGACTTGCAATTATAGCCTTTTAGAGCCTCCCATGAATGTTTCAATCAGTTTCAATCAATCAGTACATCAGATTCTGCCCTCACCTGCTCCCACATTTCTTCTCAGCTTTCACCATTCCAAGTTTTTGATTTATACCCTTTAATAAAAAGTCTTTTGCAGGGCTGGGGTTATAGCTCAGTGGTGCTACACCTACCTGGCAAGTACAAGGTGCTGAGTTCGATCCTGGTACCAAAAAACAAAAACAAAACAGCAACCCCCCCAACCAAAAAGTCTTTTACAGAGTTTCACACATAAGCACACAACCAATTTCTCAGGTACTGGCTCACTTACTCTCAGCCTTACCACCTAGCCCACAATTGCTGCTAGACTCTCTGTATGTCTCACACAATCAGTTGTCCATGCCCTGTGTCAGCCAGGCACACCACTGTTTTCCTCCCGCAGTCAAGTTATAGGCACATGTGCACAACTACAAGGTCGTAAGTTTCTCACACACTCTGATCACATCGTCACTCAGTGTCTCATTGGCTTAGTTGCATTTTCTGTTTTTTCACAAACGTGATTTCTCTTTAGTTTTATGAAATGTTTCAAAGACTCATACACTCTTAGACACTGCTCAGTTGTCAAGTTTCTTTCCCATGGCCACTGAGTTCCTGGGCTTTCTGGGGCTTGCCACTCACCTACATCGCTTCTCTCTCCCTCATAGACAATTCTGTTTCAGTTCCTCAGTCTCACCAGAACCTGTGGAGAGGCAGTAGTGGACACTATAAGCCAGTGTGCCACTTGTCTCAGCTTCACATGTACATGCGCACGATTAGAGCCTCCCAGCTCCAGCTATCTGATTTTCTTTTCCCCCCTGCCCCCGGTACTGGGGATGGAACTCAGGACCTTGTGTTTGCAAGGTAGGCAGGGTGCCACTAAGCTAAATCCCTGGCCCTGCCATCTGACTTCCTATGGTCTTTTCTAGTCTCCATGAAAAGTTTTCAGACACATATGTTCATATCTTGGACCTCAGTATCTCTTAGCCCTCTAGCCATTTTCTCTCACACAACCAACTCACACAGGCACTCCTGTGAGTTTAGCTGACACTTCAGCCTTGAATAGCTTCACACACAAGCTATGTCTCACTCCACAAGTCATGACCAGTCAGTTGCCTGCTTTCCCACAGTAAGGGCTCTCACCTATACTTGGTCCCTGACAGTCTCCCACTGTTTCCTGTCCACACAGTCTCTCACAGTCAGCTTTGGTTACTCACTCTGTCTTGCTTGGCATCAGCTTGTCAAACACTGACCAATCTGCAGTGTCCAGTCCCCTCTCACAAACAATATGTCATGTAGATCATCACAAGTTTTTGTACAGGATTTTGTTTTTTTGGCTAGGCTGAAGATGGAACCCAGAGCCTTATGCATGCTGGGCAAGCACACTCTATCATGCAGCTATATCCCAACCCCTTTCATCCAGTCTTAGTTGAGTTTCTGAAATACAACCTCAATTTCTTATATAGGCACACTGTCAAAAGTTTGTGGCCACAACTTCTGCTTTTCTCTCATACATATAACACACATAATCACAGCTTTGCACACTTTCTATCACACACACCTGGTTACCAATCAGCAGTCTCAACTACTGTTTCTGACACACGCTATTTTTTCCACAATCAACCTCCGCTTCACACTCTCGTTGCCCTTCATACAAAGGTATGCCTATCACCAGCTTGTCATGAAGACATGGAGGGGGAAAAATGCCAGCAGCCTCCAGCAACACCTTTAAAAATATATATTTACAGGAACAATCCCCCATTCTCTGGGACTCTTAGAAAAAAAAGGTCCATCTGGGGAAGTAAAACAAACATTGGAGAGGAGTTCAGCATTGTCTCCCAAATCACCAACCCCCAGGTCCTCAGGCCCAGGCCGGTGCTCACAGGAGGTTAGCTCATGAGTCTTTTAACCCACCCTCTTTAGCCTGGAATTGAGACAAGACAGGCTTTATGTCCCCCATTCCTCCCTCCCAACTCCAGGGACACTTAAAGGGTCCATTGTACCCGCCCGCAGGAAATTGCGGGGCTGGGAGGGAGGGAGCTGAAAATACATGTTTGGTATCAAAAATAAACACTTGGGGGCAGCAGGAAGATTCCCCCCAAATCCCTTCCTCCCCACCCCCCCCACCCCATCAGATATAGGAAGAGATACCTCCCTCTCCCTTATTGAAAAGTCCCATTTAAAAATAGA